CGAGGTTCTGCCCCAGAAAGTGACCCCAAGATCCACCTACTGTGGCCTCCACTCAGGCCAGGCCTCTTGAGAGTCTGGCAGAGTCGGGGTCCACAGCCTCCCCGCAGGCCTGACTCTGCCCTTGGCCATGCATTCATCCGACACATGGTTAGGAGCTGTGTGTGTGGGCTCTGGGCCCCTCGCTGCCTGTGTGATCTTAGAGAAGGCCTCTCTCTCCTCCTTGAGCCCCAGTTTCCCATCTGTACAACGATCCAGCCCATAATCGTCTTATTTGCTACCACTGATTAAGCACCACTATGCGGGCCAAGCGCTTCACATGTCCCCCGCTTATTTCAAGCTGCACAGCAGCCTCGCTCCCCAGATGCGGGAGCTGGGGTGACCTCTCCCACATCATCCCTGGGTCTCATCTGGCTCCAAAGGCTGGACTTGTACCGTGTATCCAGTCCCGTGGTTGCCTTGGTAGGCTGGCTGCTTCATGGCCTCTGTGCAAATTACGGCAGTAAAACATTACTCCCCAAACACGTCTGTTCGTAAAATAACATGCATGCATATAACAGCCACACTTATCCTGGGAGGGACCCAAAAAGTAATGACATTAATGAGCAGCTACCATGTGCCGGGGAGGTGCAAGACATTTTCACACGTATGACTGCCATCGGGTAATTTGCCAAGTAGAATTCTCACCACTCCATGCCAAAGGTAAGCACACAGAGGCTCTGCCATGTTACGTATGTATGACAGAATGTCTTGCTTCCAATGGTCACACCAAGTAATGGTGACCACTGGGTGTGGGGAGGACATAAACTCCTCCCTTTCCCCTGTCACTAGGCCCTGACGCCTGGCTCAAGCCTAATTGAGCACCTGCCCATCCCCATCCTCTGCCTGCCTACCTCTCATTCATCCTCCAATATCCAGCTGGGTGCCGCCTCTTCTGGGAAGCTCTCCATGATCCCCTAGGTTTATCTAAGAGCCACACCTTCCACCTGAGCTCCCCACGTTGTTCTAGGGGCGCTGCTCTTCACAGTGGGACCAGAAGGGAGAGGGCAGGGGCAGGAAAGATCCCAGCTGTCGCTTCCAATCCTGAGTCAGGAAAGTTCCAGTGAACTAGGAGAAAGCCCCAAAGGAAGAACACGAGGCTGGAGAGAAAACACCACCCACCCAAGGGTGCTCCTGGTCCCTCAGATGGCCTCAGGTGGCCCTTTCCTGCATTCACTTTGAAGGGGGTGGGTTGGTTACGAACATCAATTATGCGAAAGCGCTGAGTGCTGGTGGGGAGAGGTGCATTACAGACGCAGGTGAAACCTAGCCTTCACCTTTGGGAGTTTATAACCTTGAGCAGGGCAAGACTTGCATTTAAAAACCCAGGTCTGCTTCGGAGGAGCCCAGGAGGGGTCTTGCGTCAGGCGGGGAAGCTGCAGGAGGAACCAGACTGGGCACTGGGCCTGCAAAGATGAATTAGATTAGGAGGGAAGGGCAGGGACACTGGGCCCAGTGGGCAAAGCGGAGTGAGGCCAGGCCCGCGGAGGTGGCAGATGTTAATCCCTAGGCACTGGGAGGCTACACTGCAGATGCAGGGATGGTGATTAGAGCAGAGAGCCAGTCCCTTGCCATCAGGCTTTAGTCCTCCCTGCCAAGGCCCCCAGCAGAAGCCAAATTCAGGGAACACAAGAGCAGGCGCTTTGGCGAGCCATCCCCCAAAAGACCCCACTTGTGATTTTTTGAAGGACCCTACGTCCCATGTCAATTCTCAGCTGAGGTTCCACGAGGCTCCTTCTCTGAGAATGTACCTGTCCTAGCCCTCAAAGACGCAGAACACCTCAGCAAAACAACAGGCCTTCAGAATACTCAAGTACACGGCGCTCACATCATAGCCACACACACGGGCTGGCACATGCTTGCCACTGAGTTTGCTGGGGGCCTGTGCAAAGACACCTACCCTGCCTGACCTGGTCCGGTTGCCCTTGATGGCCCACGTTGGATGCCATTGCCCTGATCCCCTTCTGTTTCTGTGACACATCGCCCAGTCACTTGCTAAGTTCAGTTCAGCTCTCTCCGCTGGACAAATCAGAGCTAGGCTTAGAAGACAGAGGTTGGCTCATGGGCAAGCAGGGGTACTTTGAGGCCACAAATGAGAAAGTGACAACCTTGGCAGTACCATGGGCAGGGCCTGCCCACGGCCACCTGGCCCTAACCTCTGGTGAGCCCACCATCCCAGGGTGGGGTTCTTATTCTCGACTCTTTGAGCAATTTACATTCCAACCAGAAAGATACATGAACCCAACATAAATCTGCTCACACATGACAGCAAAGGTGTGAGCTGCCAAGGGCTAAAGTTGGCACTCGCAAGAGACCCCAAATGGAGATTCCCCCTTTGTTGCTCACCAGGCCCTGTCTGAAGCACAGAGACAGAGACACATATAAACAGATCCACTGACGGTTGGTAGGTACAGGTATGTAGTATCTCATTTCAACCTCCCAGCCACCTTGCCAGGTAAGCGGGTTTAATGCCATCTTGCAGATGAGGACACTGAGCCTCAAAATGGCTAAGCAGCTGGCTGAAGTTCAGGCAAGCAGTGTGGCTGTCGTTTGAATGTGCCATCGCCTGTCAATTCCGCCGCCCCGGCCCAGGGTTCTTTTCGCATGCTCAAGTCTGGGAGCAGGGTGGAGGCCTGGAACCTCTTTCAACCCACTCTTCTCCTCGTTTACAAGGGTGAGCACAGCTGAGGCTCATGGGCCAGCGACTTGCCCAGGGTCACACAGCCCAGCTTCGGAGTCAGGATAAGCACCCAGGTCTCCTGACAGCCTGGCTACACCATGGGACCACTAGAGTAGCAGCCCATGTGATGACCTTCCGCAAGCCCAGACGCTGTTCTGCCACTGAAATGATCACGGCCCAGACCTCAGCCCCTGGTCCCCTGGGCAGACAGCAAGCCCAGCTCCCCTTTAACTTGTACAAAGATGGGCTCAGGTACATGGTACAACTTCACTGAAACCCTTTCCTAAGGGGAAACTTGTCTGCAGTGACCCCCTCATTAGAATACCCTTCAATGTGTCTAAAAGAGGAGACCAGACTTACCCTGTCTGCATGCTGGGGACAGGAGCCCCATACCCATACAGTGTGAGTGGGGGGCCAGAAGGCTCCACCTCCCAAGCTGACAGCTAACCAGACCCCCTGCAGCACCCAGCTATATGTTTTTTGGCCAACATCTAAAAACTGGGAGATTTCCAGCTTCTCTTGAAAGCACTGTTCTGGCCTTCCTAAGTCGACCTTCACACAGGGGACCCGAGGGACATACTCTCCTGTTTGCTCCTAGGGCCTCCGGCATGGAGGCTGAGTCCTGGCTGCTTTTGACGGCTGCACTGGCCTCCTCCCACCTGTGCAGCAAGCTCTGCTCAGGGCCCTGTTGTAAGCGCCATGCCCACCAACACACCCCCGAGCCTCTTCCTCCCCAGCCCCACTGTGCAGAGCAGGACGCTGGCAGGAGCGTAAGATGAAGGCTGGCCCGGAGGAGGCCTGGCCATCAAAGAGGTCACGCTGCTCTGGTCACACCTGAGCTTCCAGACAAAGGTGAGCATTCCTCCCACAACCAAGGAGAATCAGGCCGGATGCTTCCCTGTTAGCAGCAAATCTTCCAGACACTGGCAACCAAGAAACTCACCGGGCAGGCCAACAGAAGAAAAACAATTTAACATCTGATATGTATTTCCCTTTTTCTTAACTAACTCCAACATTCCTCCTCAGAATAAATCCATCCAAATCGATAACAGAAACATCATTTAAACTTTGCACGAAGAACATAACTGCTTTAGAAATGACACTATATCCAAAATAAAAACCGGAAATTAAGACCAATTCTCTAAAACCAGAAAACACACGTTGGACAAAATTCACTTGCAAGTTTCTTTAAAGGATCCTTAAGATGGAGCTGTAGTATCAGCTTCTAATGAAATAAATTTCAAATGCTTACCCTAAGACTTGTGGGGTCTTTTCAGAAGAGTTCACATGGCTAAATGTGAGTCTTGGGCCGAGGCTTGGAGCCTGCAACTTTGGAGGACTCTGGAATGGAACCCTGCTTTAGAAAGCCATTCGTGTAACCAGTCAGCAGGCAAAGTTAATTACAAATCGTACGGTTAATTTCCAAAAGCAGCTGTTTCTAGTAAATTGTTAAGTGAAATTAACTGCCTCTGTGTCTTTCAGGTCCACAGGGTTAAAGAATCCTAATTTCCCCCAGAATTTCAGGTTATAGTAGAAACACTCATCAAGGTAGACACAGCAAGTTTCACTCATGCAAAATCGCCAATAAAGAAGGTCTCAAGCATCAGGAATTGCAGGCGAGAGCTTAGCGAGTTTGCAAGGCTTCAATTTAAGACAGCTGAAGTCCCCCCCCCCCGCCAGAACCCCCCGACCCAGTGCTAGAAAGGGCGCTTTGGGCTTGCAAGCCTGCACACCCCACGGGGGTCAGTCGGCATCACCATGGGGGGAGGGGGAGCTTGCTCAAAGGCAGGCGGCCACTGGGCAGGGTTGTGCACTGAGCAAAGCTGGCACCACTGGTAGCCCCAGGACGAGGTCCTTGTGGGCAAAGCAGCAATTCTGCAGGGGCTCCGGGGGCATGCCGGGGCAGGGAGGGATGGGGGCCAGGCCAACTCTGGGGAAGGCGGGGTAGATTGGTGGATTAAACACCGATCGCCAACTTCCCTTCTTTCCAGAAGGCTCTAGATTATATTTCGTTTCCTTTTTGCAGAGGTTAATCGGATGGACATGTCTTTAACTGCAGCCCCCTCTCCAAAATGCCCCGCGCGTGAAGCAAGTCCGGAGTGCACACACACAACAGCACTTTGCGTGCGGGGACAGGGGTTCCCCGAGGCTCCCCGCGCTCCCCGTGCCGCGAAGGAGTGACATCAGAGGTTCTCGTGGACTGATCATGCAGCAAAGCCCGGCGCCGGGAGTGCATGCGCGGGGAACCGGGCTTCCCTCCGGGCGGAAGCCGAGAGGCACTAACCCTTTTTAAATTTATTCAGGCAGCCGGAGCTGCAGAAGGAGCGCACGGAGGCCGTCTCCCAGCAGCCGCGTCCCTTCATCCCCGCGGCGGGGCGGCCTCCGAGCGGCGGGGCGCTACATGGCGCCGGGTCCCGGGGGTTCGCACGGTCGTGTGCACAGCTCGGCCGGCCGGCCGCCCGGCGGAGGCGACGGGCGCTCGCGGGTCCGGTGCCGCGTTACCACAATGCACCACTGCCGCCCGCCGCCCGCTGCACGAGCCGGTTAACCCCGTCGGCGCCGCGGGAGCGGAGCGAGCGGCGGCTCGGCCTCCCCCTCCTCCCCCGGGAGCACAGCCTGGGCCCGCGAGCCACCTGCTCACCCGTGCGACCCCGCTGGTGCCTGGGATCTGGGGCAGGGGGTGGCCTTCCCATTTTAACGTCACATTTTAATGCGAAAATCCGAACGGAGGTGCCGCCCCCTGCAACAGCGGGTTTGGCGTTGCTTTATTTCAAAGGGAACCAACGATGCCCTTGAAAGCACAGGGGCACGTGGGAAATGGGGATCGCTCGGGGCCTGATGGTGAGTCCAGGGAATCCGGGTCACCTCTGAGACCTGGTCACCTTCTGACCCCGCTGCGGCAGTTGGTGCACCTGTCTCTAGCCACCTGCAGCCACCTGGCCAACGTCTGGGAGGAAGGCAACAGGCAGGGCCCCAGGGAGCCGGGCTCCCTTAGGCTGCTGCCACAGGGCAGGAGGCACCTGCAAACAAACGCCACTCTGCCCAAGCCTCTGAACACAGTTCTCCATGGGATGTCTGATGGGCATCACAAACCCAACTGTCCAAATCTGAGCCCCCATAGTCCCCTGGGGATTGCTCCAACCCTCCCCACCATCATCCTCCCAGTTGCTGGGGCCAGAAACCCTGGAGACGTCCTTGACTCCTGTCTCTTAGATCCACATCCCGTTGGTCACCACATCCTGACAGCTGTACCCGTAGAATACAGCCAAGGTCCTGTGGCCCTTCACCACCCTCACGCTGCCCCCAGGCCTACCACACCGTCATCTTGCCTGTGGGCTCTGACAAAGCCCCCTCACAGGTCCTCCTGCTCCCACTCTGGCCCCATGGAGTCTACGCTCAATGCGACAGCTGAGAGCTCCTGTTTAATGTATGCCAGACTCTGGCACTCTTCCCTCCTGCGTTCCCTGCTTTGCTCAGTAATATGGCACACACACCCACTCAATTGAAATTCACATATACATATCTGGGTGTGTGTGGATTCCAGTGCTGGAGGCAACCGAGAAACAGGTCCCTGGGGCACTGACAGCAGCTCCAGAAACTAGTGTGAGGCCTCTAGGGACAACACGGCAGTACAGTAAGAACCACCAGCACATCCGTATCCTGCAGCGCAGGAAGAGGAACTGGATTCATCACAAGTGAACAGTGGGAAAGAAGAAAGAAGCTCTGTATCCAATGCCATTGGTTGCAAAAAAACGAGGCAACCTAAGAGTCTAACGGCAGGTGGATTTCATCAACTTTATTTCACGAACTTCATGGACTATCAGAGAGCCATTTAGACTTATACAGGTGATGAATCCACAGAAATAAGACACCATGCTTTAAAAAAAATGCTGGAAGGAAAAAGGCAAATCATGCAATATATTTACAACCGTATGAAAACCATGCATACACAGATGTGTTAAAACAACAGGATCACAGGTGAATTTCCTCAAGTCTGGGCTTCTGGAGTGTCTTTTTTTTTTTTTTTTTTTCAGGTGAATTTCCTCAAGTCTGGGCTTCTGGAGTGTCTTTTTTTTTTTTTTAATAGTCAAGTGCAGTAGTGAGGAGGGGGAAAGTAGTAGAACAAGGAGTTCAATCTGTAACTGACTGTGAACAATCAAGTGAGATAACTCTACCTTCGGACCAGCCCTTCCGGAGTGTCTTGAGCTTCTTCCTCTCCCAGGACCTAGTGCGCCCAACTATAGTTCCTGTTTACTTATCTATCTCCTGCAGCAGACTGTGAATTCCTTCAGGGAAGAGACTGTCGCCTTTTCTCACTATTCTCAGCCTCTAACGTGGCCTAGCACATAGTAGGCATGCAGGAATGAATAGATGAATGACTTGATTGATGAAAGCAACTTAAGCACATCATCAAGAGCCCCATCCTCCTGCCTCCCTTCCATCGCTGCCCCTCCAGTCAGCATTTCTAGTGCACCCCCCCTCACAGTCCCCTGTCCCCTCTGCACCCCTGCCCCACCCTTCACTGAACTGCTCAGAGGCGAGCACGGGCCTGGGAGTCCCATGGGACCCAGATCCAATGGTGGCTTCCTGACTTGAGTTGGCCAAAGCCCTCAACCGCTGTGGGACTCAGGGATCATTGGCTTCCCCTCTGGGCCTCGGCTCATCACTGATGAGCCCACAGGGGACACGCAGTGACCTTCTCCATATTTGTCTGGAGAATCAAGTTCTCCAAGGGGTTGTCAAACGTACACGGTCCTTGTGGGGATGTCTCGAGAATGAAGCCCTTTAAAGCAGCAGTGTTCTAAAAATAGCCACGCTTAGATGCTGACTGCCATCCTCATTAATAAATGATTCTGCACCGAAGCCAAAGAATTAATTCGAGAGCAAGTTATGATAATGCGTTGCCAGGCAATTAAAATAAACTTCTGAAGGGAAAAACATTCAATTTATCATTGATTATTTTAGAGCAGAAAAATGGAACAAGGGGAGAGCACACCATTCAGATCAGTTTGATGAAAGGAAAAAAAGTAGGGGTGGTGCCTGTCCACACGTGCCCTTTGCTTTGAGGGGCAGTGGAAGCGCAGTGAGATAGACTTCGTCCTGGAGCCAGCGAGGGGCCGTGCTTGGCATTCCTGCACATGCCTTTGGAAAGGGCAGTCTGCCTGTGGGCCAGGTCGCCTGGAGGACCCGGGTGGACATTTGGGGTCAGTCCCACCAGGCAGCTCTGAGGAGACTGGCTTCTTCTCAGTCCCTATTTGATTGCTTATGTCAGTTATTAACCAAAAGGCCTTCTGCTCGCTGAACTCTAAATATTGCACCAACAAATCCGTCAAGACAATCAAAGAGCTGGAATTCCCAAGGGATCACTGTTCATTTGTTTAGTCTTCAATTCTGTTTCTTTCTTTATTTTTTTTTAAAGAAAGTGACAACAAAAAGAACTGAAAATACAAATCTATTGCAGAATGTTCCTTGTTTTTTGTCGGTTGTTAAAGCAACACAAATTAAAGCAGCCTTGATGTATCCTTATATTAAAATCGTGAAAAGTGCATTAAATTATTAACACCTAATGTCAACAGTGAAACTGGCATGCTCACTTGTTGCTGGTGGCCTGGAACATCGGGCCGCTCATTCCATAAAGTGACATTATAGCTCGTCAAGGAGCTGTGATGCTGCCACTGCTCTTAGCTCAGGAATCCGGGTCCTTTCCCTCAGGAAATAATTTAAGAGAAGCAGAAAGATTTCTGTACAAACATATTCATCACATCCGTATCTGCAATAGCACGACAGGAACTCAAATGCTCAACAGCGGAAGGATGATTCCGAACATTAGAGCACATCAACTCAGTGGACTATTATGCAGCCATTAAAATAATCATCATAAAGACAGGGAAACTGTCAGCTATACTTTGGGGCAGAAAAGGCAAGAGCATGAAGTGCTATGTTTCAATATGATTCCAAAGATGAGAAATATGGGGGTATGTACGGGGGTCGTGAACGTGAAGGGAGGGCAGTGTGCAAAAATAAAGAAAAGCTTTGTAAGGGTGTGAGATTACTGGGGAATCTCCTATATTCCAAATACTCTTTATCTTGCTGTGCAATCTTTCCCACAGCAACCGCAAAAATGTAACAAGAAACCTTCAATTAACTGAATTATTATTTGAAACCCTTTCCCATGGGGACAAAGGAGGTGCAGAAGGGTCTGCAGGGCGTAGGTGCTCTGCTCAGGAAGCGTGAGTTAGGAGGCCATGGGATGGTAGGGACCAGTGAGGGTAGGTCGGTGACCAGTGAGCAGGAAGTTCCGGCAGTGGAGCCCAGAGAGTTTTACTGTCAGTCAGGCTTGGGGAGGCCTGGGCTTTGGAGTCACATGCCTGAGTCTGAGCCCAGATCTGTAACTTGCTCTCTGGGTGGCGTGAAGTAAGCGCAGGAGCCTCTCTGAGCCTCACTTCTCTGATTCTCATCCAGACGCGGTGCTATCTCCTTTTATGGGTTGGAATTGTGTCCCCCCAAAATTCACATATTGACGTCCAATCCCCCAGTACCTCAGAATGTTACTGTTTATGGAGACAGGGCTTTTAACAAGGTAATTACGATAAAATGAAATCACATAGCTGGGCCCTAATCAATATGGCTGGTGTCCTCACAAGAAGAGGAGAGTGGGACACAGCCAGACAACATATAGAAGCAGGGGCCACGTGAGGACATAAAAGGAAGTGGCTGTCTGCAAGCCAAGGAGGCCTCAGAAGAAACCAAATCTCCCGACACCTTGATCTTGGACTTCCAGCCGCCAGAATAAATTTATAAAGAAATTTATTGTTATAGAGAAATAAATTTATCTATAATAGAATACATTTCTGTTGTTGAAGCCACCCAGGCTGTGGCATTTTGTTATGGATGTCTGAGCTGGTGAATACGCTTCCTCAGGTAGAACTGTGAGGCTGGCATCACCAGCCCAGGCAGGTACTCAAAACACATCTGGGCAAAGTGAGCCAGGTAAGGGACAGGGCACCAGGTGTCCTGAAAACCACTGCTCCACACAAGACCTGTGCTAGAAGAGTCAACCTCCATGTCCATCAAGGAATTAGTTGAACTGTGAAGTTCAGAATGACTACAAAAGCCCCATCCAAGACAGCTTCTCCTGTGATCCTTGTGGCAGCTGGAGGGAGGCTGGGCCGGACAGACAGCATGGCTATAAATAACTGGTGAAAGTGAAGTTCACTAAAGTTAAGGGGTTTTGTTCAAAGTCAAAGAGCAAGCAAAGACCACAGAAGGGTCAATAATGCAACATTTTAAGCCTCCAAGCTCCGTTTTCCCCCGACTACTAAAAAGTAAGCCTCTGACTGACAGATCTGACAACATAAACATT